AACAAAGCATCCAAATTGTGAATTTGACTTCTGTTTAAGTCAGATTGAAAAAAATATCAATTTCCTTCAAAAACTCGTTTTAGATTAAAAAAAAAAAACAAGAAGGTCTGACTGAAAGAAAACTGAAATGCTTATATACCGAGTGTTCAAAATTACAGGATATTATAATTGAGTCGCACAATAAAGTGTACGTTCATATGAACACTACGTTTGCGCGAACAAAGAGACAACATTCATCATATTTTGTGTATAGAATTCATTTAATTTTCTTAATGTTTTTTCAAAAAAGTGAATGGTTTTATTTCGTGATTTTAATGTTGTTCACAAAGCATACAAATTTTGAATTTGACTTCTGTTTAAGTAAGATTGACAAAATATCTCTTTCATTCAAAAAATCGTTTTAGATAAAAACAAAATTGAAATTCTTATAGTTCGAAATTACAGAGTATTATCATTTATCATGTTTTGTGTATGAAATTATTATAGTTACTGTGTTCTTATATTGGTAACTGGATTTTATGTTAAAAAATTGTTTGAAGTAAATTTGTATATTGTAGTTTTGCTTTATCGATTGGTTAGCATTAAGGCGTCCTGTTTGAAATGTAAAATAGGATAGAAAAAAAATTGGATGGGAATGAGAAGAAGGAGAAGAAGGTAGGATGGAAAACAGTGTAGGCAAGACGTAAGCTCGGTTATGGCGAGCGCTAAAACTTGGTCTAATGCGGAAACAATAGTTCCATACTCGCCATGAATTCTCTTCGAAGAAAATGACTTTTTCATTTCATCCAGTGTGGTTCGACATGGTGGGGCTGGTCCTTCCCCCCACACTACATCCATACTATAACGACTCTCCAGTTTGAGACCACAGCATGTGTTGTGGTACAAGTGTTATCATACCAGATACCCGTTGAATACTATTTAATGAAGATTTAACACGGCCGACGGCAGCCTGCGCTACCTTTACACACAAACACAAACGATCCCATGCATAAAAAGGAAGGAAGCGACCATTTCCATATCGGATGCTGCTTTCCCCAAGAATCCACCCGGAAATCCACCGGAAACGATCATTCACCGCCTCCGCAAAAGCTTCACGAAGCTTTCATCCTCTCATTCCGCCACCCCTATAACCATCTACACCCTTCCTCCCAACATACGCGGGCGCGATAATTGCGAACAGCCCTTTATTGCACTTCTAAAACTTGTTCATTATTGCTTCCTCAAAAACCGAACATCCAATATATATATATACATACATACACAGAAACTGAACAATTTCCGCCACCCCTCGAACTACCCACCGGAATGGCACAATAACGAAACGTCAACATGTTTTCCGTCCACAAGTTTATTTTCACCGAATCAATACCGGGAATATCATGGCGAGTTACGTAACTTTTTATTGGCGAACGACATTATTGCCGGTCTTCATTATTCTATTTTTGTTTTTATTCCATCCATCCCACATCTTTCACTTCGTTTTC